TGCGTGGGAGACCCGGAAGAAGCTCCTGGCTCCTGACTTCAGATTGTTGCAGCTCTGGCCATTGTGGCCAACTGGGGAGTGAGCCAGCAGATGAAAGACCTCTCTCTGCTTCTACTTTCTGAGTGTAATTCTGACTTTCAAATAAATAAATCTTTGAAAAAAAGTGTTAAATTTTAACACTTAAAATATGGAATAAGCTTAAAAATAAAGACACAGGGAGCTTTTCCATTTGCTGATTCAACCCCAAATGCCCAACATCCAGGATTGGGCCAGGCTAAAACTAGGAGCCTTGGGGCTGGCGCTGTGGCCAGCCTTGGCCGAATCCCATATGGCCGCTGGTTCTAGTCCTGGCTGAAAGCAGTAGAAGATGGCCCCAAGTCCTTGGGCCTCTGCACACATGCAGGAGACCTGAAGGAAACTCCTGGCTCCTGGCTTCGGATTGGCACTGTTGCGGCCAATTGGGGAGTAAACTATCGGATGGAAGACCTCTCTCTTTCTGCCTCTCTTCTCTCTGTGTAACTCTGACTTTCAAATAAATAAATAACATCTTAAAATAATAATAATAAAAAAACAGGAGCCTGGAACTCAATTCAGTTCTCACATGTGAGTGGCCCAGACTTTGTTACTTGAGCCCTCACCTGCTATATCCCAGTATAGAAGAACGGGAAACTGGAATTGGAAATGGAAATAGGACTTGAACTGAGACACACCGTTAGGGGTTACACACGCTCCAAGCAGCGTTTTAATCTCTGTGCTAAATGCCAGCTCCGTGCTCCATTTTAAGTTACGTTTTGTGTGTAGTGAGGTGAAAGTCTAAATTAATATTTTGCATGTGGATAATCTGTTGTTTTAGCCCCATTTATTGATAAGACTGTTCTTTCCCCCAGTAAATTACCTTATTGCCTAGGTTTCTGGTGATCCTGGTCTGTCTGCTAAAAAAAAGGTGACTGACTCTCAACGTGTGAGGCACTGTGTTTGTGGCATGTTCGGTAGGGGATATGGTTAAGTTGTTTTGCTGGAGAACCCCTGGTGACAGTATCTTGAGGTTGGTTTTTTTTTGTTTGTTTGTTTGTTTGTTTTTAACACCTGGCTGGTTAGATTCTCCAATGAAGAGACTTCTAATCTCTGCTTGGCTGCCTTTGTTCTGGCAGACAAGTGGTATTAAATGACTAGGGTTGCAGGTGTTTTGCTTAATGGTTAACAGTAACCTGTGTCCCACATCAGAGTGCCTGGGTTTGAGTGCCGGCATCAGCTCCTGATTACAGTTTCCTGCTAATGCAGACTATGGGAACCAGGGGTGATGGTTCAAATATCTGAGTTTCTGCAATACACATGGGTTGAGTTTTCAGCTTCTGACCTCCCCCCTCCCCCAAACAGATAAAGTATACCAGCACATGGGAACTCTCTCTGTCTCTCAAATAAATAAAATTGAAACAAAAGAGCTAGTACTGTCACTCATAATATAATATAATTTTTTACTCAAGCCTCTTGTTTTAAGTATGGAACACATAGCTCATTTGTATCAAATGTCCATCCAGAGGTCCTGCTTTTTGATTTTTGTTTTTTTCAACTTTTATTTAATAAATTTCCGAAGTACAACTATTGGATTATAGCAGCTTCCCCCCCCCATAACCTCCCTCCCACCTGCAACCATCCCATCTCCCGCTCCCTCTCCCATCCCATTCACATCAAAATTCATTTTCAATTATCTTTATATACAGATGATCAATTTAGTATATACTAAATAAAGATTTCAAAAGTTTGTACTTACACAGATACACAAAGTATAAAGTACTGTTTGAGTAGTAGTTTTACTGTTAATTCGCATAGAATAACACATTAAGGACAGAGATCCTACATGGGGAGTAGGTGCACAGTGACTCCCGTTGTTGATTTAACATTGACACTCTTGTTTATGACGTCATTAATTACCCAAGGCTCTTGTCATGAGCTGCCAAGGCTATGGAAGCCTCTTGAGTTCACAAACTCGAATCTTATTTAGACAAGGCCATAGTCAAAGTGGAAGTTCTCTCCTCCCTTCAGAGAAAGGTACCTCCTTCTTTGATGGCCCATTCTTTCCACTGGGATCTCACTCACAGAGATCTTTCATTATTGTCTGTTTTATTTTTGCCAGGAGTGTCTTGGCTTTCCATGCCTGAGAAACTTTCATGGGCTCAGATCCGAATGCCTTAAGGGCTGATTCTGGGGCCAGAGTGCTGTTTAGGACATCTGCATTCTGTGAGTCTGCTGTGTATCCCGCTTCCCATGTTGGATTGTTCACTGCTTTTTAATTCTATCAGTTATTATTAACAGAAAATAGTCTTGTTTATGTGATCTCTTCGACTCTTAATCCTATCATGATCAATTATGAACTGAAACTAATCACTTTGACTACATGACTTTGGTACATGCCACCTTGATGGGATTGAATTAGAATCCCCTGGCACGTTTCTAGCTCTACCATTAGAGATAAGTCCATGTGAGCAAGTGCCAAACTGTATATCTCCTCCCTCTCTTATTTCTACTCTTATATTTAACAGGGATCACTTTTCAGTTAAATTTAAACACCTAAGAATAATTGTGTGTTAATTAAAGAGTTCAACCAATGGTATTAAGTAGACCAAAAAAATATTAAAAGGAATAGAATAGTAAGTTGTTCCTCGACAGTCAGGACAGGGCTGATCAAGTCATTGTTTCTCATAGTGTCCATTTCACTTCTACAGTTTTCCTTTTAGGTGCTCAGTTGTCACTGATCAAGGAGAACATATGATATTTGTCCTTTTGGGACTGGTTTATTTCACTCAGCATGATATTTTCCAGATTCCTCCATTTTGTTGCAAATGACCGGGTTTCATTTTTTTTATTGCTGTATTCTATAGAGTATATATCCCATAATTTCTTTATCCAGTCTTCTGTACATGGGCATTTAGGTTGATCCCATGTCTTAGCTATTGTGAATTGAGCTGCAATAAACATTGAGGTGCAGACAGCTCTTTTATTTGCCAATTTAATTTCCTTTGGGTAACTTCCAAGGAGTGGGATGGCTAGGTCATGTGGTAGGGCTATATTCAGGTTTCTGAGGAATCTCCAGACTGACTTCCATAGTGGCTTTACCAGTTTGCATTCCTACCAGCAGTGGGTTAGTGTGCCTTTTTCCCCACATCCTCACCAGCATCTGTTGTTAGTTGATTTCTGTATGTAAGCCACTTTAACCGGGTGGAACCTCATTGTGGTTTTGATTTGCATTTCCCTGATGGCTAGTAATCCTTAACATTTTTTCATGTGTCTGTTGGCCGTTTGGATTTCCTCTTTTGAAAAATGTCTATTGAGGTCCTTGGCCCATCTCTTAAGTGGGTTGTTTGTTTTGTTGTTGTGGAGTTTCTTGATCTCTTTGTAGATTCTGGTTATTAATATTTATCTTTTGCATAGTTTGCAAATATTTTTTCCCATTCTTTTGGTTTTTGTTTTTTAATTTAAAGATTTATTTATTTATGGGGAAGAAGGAACAGAGAACTCTTCCATCCGCAGGTTCACTACCCAAATGACCACAAAAGATGGAGCTGATCTGCAGCCAGGAGTTGGGAGCTTCTTCTGGGTCTCCCATGTGGGTTCAGGGGCCCAAGTACTTGGGCCGTCTTTTACTACTTTCCCAGGTGCATTAGCAGGGAGCTGGTTCGGAAGAGGAGCAGCTGGGACCTGAGCTGGTGTCCATACAGGATGCTGATACAGCATGTGGTGCCTGCCCCCAGAGATCTTTTGTTTTATGCTCTGCACAGAATAAGGCTTTCCTAGTGTTCTGCCACACTGGGGGCTAGCCAGGTGCCCCGACGTGTGGTGTGTGATGTAGAGGGTCAGAGGACCTAATTATTTTATTGGCAGATTCTTAACCAGTTCTGTTTTTCTGTTCTGCTCTCACCCTCATTTCAAATCACTGGGCTTTGTGGAGGCTGGGGTGTAAATTAGGTTGCTTTTCCCTACCACTGGTTTTGAATTTAACTGTTTTAGGTAAATCAGTTACCACCTGTCTGCCTTCCTTCCCCCTTCCACCTGTTTATTGCCATGATCTCATCGTCTGTGCTGTTCTCCTTATGGATATATACCTCTAAATTCTGTTTGCTGTTAGTTTAATGTTTCTTGGAGGGGGACAGAATACAGTGCTTTAGTCTGCCATTTTAAAAGAAGAATCTATAATCTATATAGAATCTATACTTTGACTTACACTTTTTTTTAAGATTTATTTGTTTATTTGAAAGGATTATAGAGAGGCAGAGAAAGAGAGATCTTCCATCTGTTGGTTCACTCACTAGATGACCTCAGTGGCTGGAGCTGGGCTGATCCAAAGCCAGGAGCTTATTCCAGGTCTCCAATGCGGGTGCAGGGGCTCAAGGACCTGGGCCATCTTTCACTGCCTTCACTGGCAACAGCAGAGAGCTGGATTGGAATTGGAGCAGCCGGGACTAGAACCAGCGCCCATATGGGATGCCGGCACTGCAGGCGGCGGCTTTACCCGCTGTGGCACAGTGCCGGCCCCTAGAATGTAATATCTTTATGTCAAGTACCATACTCTCTGTTTTTTGAAAAATAAATTATAAGAAATACCAGAAGTGCTGGGGCCGGCGCTGTTGCGCAGTGGGTTAAAGCCCTGGCCTAAAGCACTGGCATCCCATCTGGGCTCCGGTTCTAATCCCAGCTGCTCCTCTTCCAATCCAGCTCTCTGCTATGGCTTGGGATAGCAGTAGACGATGGCTAAAGTCTTTGGGCCCCTGCACCCATGTGGGAGACCCGGAAGAAGCTCCTGCCTCCTACCTTTGGATTGGCACTGCTCCGGTCATTGTGTCCATCTGGGGAGTGAACCAGTGGATGGAAGACCTCTCTCTCCGTCTCTACCTCTCTCTGTAACTCTTTCAAATAAATAAAATAAATCTTAAAAAAAATTAAATACCAGAATTGCTGTGAATTATGCTATATGTATTTATATTTTATTTTATATTATTTCTTAGGTTAAAGAATGCCTCACTGGATCTCAAGCAAGCAATTAAAAATGAAACAGATTTGGATATTATCGCTGATCTGAGAAAGAAACTCCATCGGGCTAAGAAAGAAAAATTAGAAATAACAACTAAGCACAATGCAGAGGTAGAATTTATTTCCTCACAAATAACGCTACAAGTTTGAATTTTTACATTCATTTCAAATTCATATTTAATCTTTATTACTATCCTTTTGTTGTGCTTATAAAGGAGATGGTAATAAATAAAACAGGAATCAGGAGTGGAGCTGGGATGCTGACGTAGGTACCGTGATATTAGATGCAAATGTTCCAACAGACATCCTAACTCCTAGGCCCAATGCCTACTACTTGGTTTCTTCTTGTTTTACTATGCCATTATATCTGTGTGTCTGTACATATGTATATATTCCAAGGATGGTAGTTTTTTTTCCTTTTGAAGATACTGAAGGAATTATGTTTCTGTTTCTGCCGTCTGCTATATTCTTTCATCTTTTTTCTCTTTTTACATCTTATTCTTAAAGTTCAGCTTAGGTGGCCTGGTGTAGTGTGAAGAATATCTGATTACGAAGACCTTGACTCATTCCTGCCGCCTCTGTTTACAGGCTATGTGACCGTTGGCTAGCTATTTATCTTTTTACATCATTAGTTTCTTATTGTGAAATGCTCTTCCCAAAGGGTTGTTGTGGTAATTAAGTGAAATAAAATTTATACAGTGGTTGTGCACTATAATAGCAGCTGTAAATTATTGTCGTTAAACATAAACAGTTTGCTTTCCTTCCCTTCATGCTAACGTCTGATGCTATCCTGTCGGGGACCTCATGTAGTCTCCCTAAGTGAAATCAATTGCTCCTTTCTTTGTTCTTCTGGAACACCTTGCTGTGACAGATATTTAGAACTGAAACATTTATTTCTTTAGTCTCTTCAGTGTGTGATCCCCCTGAGAGCACAAAGTGGTGACTGAGCATTGTCTCTGTTGCATATATTGCTTAATGCATAAAAAATGATTTTTTCAGTGTATAAAAGGAGCAGTGTTATTGACGATTAAAATAAGAAATGAATATGTGATGGCCTTATTTTTGTTTTTTAGTAGCAGTTAAAGTAATTTTAAAATGATAATTGAAGTAATTACATCTGTTTATATTGAGTTAACATGTAACCAAAGACAAAGTGGTATTTGTTAAGTAAATGCTGATTGTTTGTAAACTCTAAAAATCATATTTTAAAACCAAATGTGTATTTTACTTTTAGTATTAGTGTCATGATAATCATTCTTCTATCAGATATGTTCTGTCACACATATTTTGCAGTTGTCATTAGTTTCTCTTAGCAGAACACACTGTTCTCTGTTACTAGATCAAAATGTTTTGAAGTATGTGTTCTCATTAAAGAAACAGGGAATTAGCTCAGGGAAGGAAGACAACTTTCTCAAAACAGGCAATCATAGTTGGTTCAACTCTAGGTTTGCATTACTAATTCTGATTCTTTCAATTATTTATTTAGATGGTCAAACTTGTATTGAATAATTTTTTAAAGCCATCTTAATATCCAGATATACCCATCACAAGGCAAGATGGAGATGAGTGAAATGTTCTAAGAGCTAAGGCTGTATCTGCCTTATCAGATATTCCTACTACAGGAATGATTGGCACAGATATCTTTATTTAAAAAGAATTTTATTGCTGTGAGATCTTGGACAAATTATTTCATTTTTTCTGATCTTCAGTTTTCTTTGATAGGTGTAGAAAAAATATAATACTATTGAGATGATTTGTTAGTAGGCAAAGAGTGTATGTAGAGGAGACACTAGTAGACTCAGATTCTATAAGAGACTTAAGTACCTTGATGTAGGTGATTGGGATGGGAAAAACACCACAGGGTTTTCATTTTTGCAGCGGTCATTAGAGTCATTTGCGCATAATAATAAAGGTGTGGGAAATAGGACAAGAAAGACCATGACGTTCTTCAGATGTTTCATTGGCTCAGTGATGATAGTGTGAGAAAATCTAGAGGGGCCTGTGTTGTGGCGTAGCAAGTAAAGCCTCCACCTGTGACCGTGTATCCCATTTGGGCACCTGTTCATGTCCTGTCTGCTACACTTTGGATCCGGCTCCCTGCTAATGGCCTTTGAAAAGCCACCCATGTGGGAGACCTGAAAGAAGCTCCTGGCTTTGGCCGGCCCAGTGCTGGCCTTTGCAGCCATCTTGGGAGTGAACCAGTGGATGGACGATTTCTCTCCCTCCGTCCCTTCCTCTCTGTATAGCTCTTTCAGATAAATAAATCAATCTTTTAAAAAAAGGCAAATTAAAAAAAAATATAGAGAAATGAGGTAGAAAGAGTCAGCTCTTCATTATGTTAACAAAATCTGAGAGGGGCTTCCTGGGAAGGAAAACATGAATTTTGGTTTATAGTTTGGAAGTTCACAGTTCAGGATGGGGTGGCCTCATTGGTGTGGCAACAGATGGAGGCTGCCAGTGGTGGGGTAGGTGCAGAGGAATGATCACATGGTGAGCCAGGAAGCAGAGACACAAGGGCACCCCTGGCTTATATAACCTCTGGCGAGAAATGCCCCCAAAACCTAAAAGACCTCCCACCAGACCCAAATCAAATCTCTACCCTTTCTCCATCAATGTGTAACATAAGATTGTGGGGTTTGAATGTCTGGGTTTGGGGAGCTAAGTCCTCTTCGGTTCATAATAAGAACTATACATTTTCTTAACCCAAAGGGACCAGAGACCTAGGACTACACAGTTGGCTTTGCAGCTTTCAGGACCTGAAGATGTTTGATTTACTCAGCCAGTACTTTAAGGACAGAAATTCTTTTTTTTTTTAAGATTTATTTTTTTATTTATTTTTAAGATTTTATTTATTTATTTGAGAGGTAGAGTTACAGATAGTGAGAGGGAGAGACAGAGAGAAAGGTCTTCCTTCCGTTGGTTCATTCCTCAAATGGCTACAACGGCTGGAGCTGTGCCAATCTGAAGCCAGGAGCCAGGTGCTTCCCGGTTTCCCACATGTGTGCAGGGACCCAAGCACTTGGGCCATCTTTTACTGCTTTCCCAGGCCATAGCAGAGAGCTGAATTGGAAAAGGAGCAGCTGGGACTAGAACCAGCACCCATATGGGATGCCGGCACCGCAGGGGGAGGATTAACCTGCTGCGCCATGGCACCGACCCCTAAAGATTTATTTATTTGAAACACAGAGAGACAGGAGAAGAGGGAGATAGATCTTCCATCTGCTTGTTCACTCCCCAAATGGACAGGTCAAAGTTAGGAGCCCAGAGTTTCTTTCAGGTCTCCCACGTGGATGCAAGGGCCCAGGCACCTGTGCTACCCCCTGCTGCTTTCTCAGGTGCATTAGCCGAGAGCTAGATCTGAAATGGAGCAGCTGAATCTTGAAGTGGCACACATATGGTTGCTAGAGTTGCAGGTGGCAGCTTTACCCATTGTGCCACAATGTCGGCCCCAGGACAGAAATTCTTAAGCTGGGATCCTCAAAAAGAGAAATTAGGGATTCTGTGAATTACAATGAGGAAAAAATTAACAATTTTATTTTTATTAACCTCTAGCTGATTTTAAGCAGTCTTCATGCTCATAATAGGACATAGTAGTGCTAGCAGTACTTTTATTATCAATAAAAATCAGATACATATCACACTTCAGAAATTATAGCTGCATTTCACATTTCAATTATTGTACACATTTTGAAATAATGTTTACATTTGTCACTGCTTTGAAATTACAAGTTATTAGATCAGCCAGTAAAGCTTATTATTTAATGTTATTAAAGTAGTACATAGAAAGACATCACAAATTTATTTTTAGATTGCATGTTTTTATGATTTAATTGTCTTTATAAATCTGTGTATTTTATTTTATGCTTTGAATTATATTATTCTGATAAGACTTTGTCAGATTGCAAAACAAAACCATCATCTGCTGTTTTCCCAGGCACACTAGCAGGGAGCAGGATTGGAAGCAGAGTAGCCGGGACTCAAGCCATTATTCTGATATGGGATGTCAGTATTGCAGGAGGCAGCTTAACCCACTGCACCACAATGCTGACTTCATTGTGTATTTTATATTTACAGCACAGCACATCTTAATTCAGAATGGCCATATTTATTTTTTTTTAAAGATTTATTTACTTACTTAGAAGTCAGAGTTACACAGGGAGAGGAGAGGCAGAGAGAGAGGCCTTCCATTCTTCCATCTGCTGATTCACTCCTCAATTGTCTGCAACAGCCGGAGCTGCTGTGATCTGAAGCCAGGAGCCAGGAGCTTCCTCTGGGTCTTCTCATGCGGCTGAAGGGGCCCAAGCAGCTGGGACTTGACCTCGGCACCCATATGGGATACCGGCATTGCAGGCGGCAGCTTTACCCGCTATGCCACCACGCCAGCCCCCAAGACCAGCCATATTTCAAGTGCTCAAGAGACAAGTGATTGGGCCAGTGCTGTGTCACAGTAGGCTAAGACTCCAGCTGTGGCACAGTATCCCATATGGGCACTGCCTCATGTCCTAGCTGTTCCTCTTCCTATCCAGTGAGGCATGCTGTAGAAGCATAAAGGAAGCTATGAAGAATAATAATGTAGACATGTTTTAAAATTTTTTATTTTTATTTTATTTGAAAGATACACAGAGAGATCCTCTATCCACTGTTTCACTCCCCAAATGGCCATAATAGCCAGGCTGAGTCAGGCTGAAGCCAGGAACCCAGATCTCAATTTTGGGTAGAGACCCAAGTGTTTGAGCCATCATCTACTGCCTCCCATTGTGTGCATCAGCTGGAAGCTGGACTGGAAGTAGTGTAGCCAGGATTTGAATCGGGCACTTTGACCTGGGATGCAGGCATCCTGAGTGGTGATCCAACCATTTTGCCACACACCTTTCTCCACAGACATGTTTTAAAAAAGGGAGATACCATTTTGTTCATGTTGTTACACATATAGTGCATGTACTGAAAACCACTTCCTGGGCAGAGGATATTTTTCTGTCGGCTCTGTGGGTAGTATTGGAAATCAAATAAAGTTCAATCAGATAAAAAGATGTTCATTAATAAAGGGGAGTAGTTGTACAGTCAAGCAGGGAGTGATGAGGCCAACACCGCCTGTAGGTCAGGGAGCCAAT